AGCTGCTGCTCGTCATATTTGTCTTCTGTGAAGCGCAGCAGCAAAGAGCTTTTGCCGACGCCGCTGTCTCCAATCAGCAGCAGCTTCAGCAGGTGGTCGTAAGCCCCAGCAGTCCCCGAGGCAGCCATTGCAGCACCGCCTACACAACCTGCTGCTGCTGCTGCTGCTGCTGTTGCTGCTGCTGTTGCCGTTGCAGCTGTTGCTGACGCTTACCTGCTGCTGCTGCTGATGCTCTTGCTGCTGCTGGAGCGGCAGACGCTGGTGTCAGTGCTCCCGCTGCAGCCACTGCAGCTAGTGCTGCTACTGCTGCTGCTGCTACTGGTGCTGCTGCTGCTGCTGCTTCTGCTGCTGCTGGCTGACGGCGCAGACGCAGCTGCTGCTCATCGCCTTAGCTCGCAGTGCCCCCGTTAGTGCTGGGGGGCTGAACTGAATGCGGCGGGAGCAGCAAAGTTGAAAAATTCAAATTAGAAAAAGGAGAAGAGGGGAAAGCAGCAGCAACAGAGGCAGCTGGAAGTTCTTATTTGCTGCAGAGAATGCTCCAGAACTGCAGAGCCGAAGGTGAGGGGTTTGGGGGTGTGAGGGGCCCCTGGGTGCAGGCGAAAGTTGATTTGCTGCTGCTGCTGCTGCTGCTGCGCAGCAGCGCGGAAGAGAAAAGGGGGAAAGGGCAGGCGATCCGCAGCAAATAAAGAGTCGTTGGGGCCGCCTTGAGAATTAAAGTGGTATTAAGAAAAAAGAAAAGGAAAAGAACGGCGAGAAGGAGGCAGATCGGCCGCTCTGTGCAACTGGCGGCTCGGCTGCGGCGCGAAGTTGAACAGGCGGTTTCCGAGGAGGTGCAGCGAAGATATAAGGCTGTAATCGAGGCAGTGAGTAATAAAAAGGAAAATAAATCCGAAAAAGTGTTTTTTGCGGGACTTGAACTACTTATTTCTGGGCTCGTTTCGGCGACGCCAGCAAAGCCCCATTTGCCAGGTGTACATACACCCGGCGGCGGCGGTGAAGACCAGGCGCTCGCGCTGCAGTTTGCAGTTGGTGGATCTGCGGATTGCAATTTTTCTTTCGATTTAATTTCTCAGTTTTGCATTTTCAGCGAGGACGGGGGCGTCGGGGGCTTCCGGTGTCCTGCTGCCCGCCCCGCGCATGTGCTGCTGCTGCTGCTGCTGCTGCCGCTGCTGCTGCTGCTGCTTGCTGCTGCCCGGAGGGTCTTCTGCGCGCATTTCGCTGCAGCAGCTCTTTTCTGGCCGTTTCGGGCTCGGCACGTAAGGGGTGAGTGGGTCTGCTGCTGCTTCTGCGGGTGGCTGGAGTTTCTGCTGCCCCATCGCGAGTTTTTCGCCGTTTTTTTCGCTGCTACTGCCGCTGCTGCCGCTGCTGCTGCTGCTGCTGCGCCGCAGGCCCCAACTCGCAGTCATGGCCTCCCCCGCAGGCTGCAGCTCCCGCGGCTTTGCCCGCGCAGCCCTGGGCTACTTCGCCCACCGTTTTGGCCGTCTTTACGACTCCTTCTACAACTCCCAAATCTCCACCAAGTTCGTCTTCTGCTGCGCCTTCCCAGCAGCAGTCTTCGCCCTCAGGTACCGCGCAGACACCAAACTCGGGTACGTCCGCCAACTTCAGGGGCCCCGGGGGGCCCCCGGGGGCCCCTGGGGGCCCCTGGGGGCCCCTGGGGCTCTCTCGGGGACCTCGGGGGGCCCTCTGGGGCGTTTGGGGAGACCGGGGGGGCCCCGGGAGGGGCCCCCTGGGCCTCCTGGGGGCCCCCCGAGGGGCCCCCAGGGGCCCTCAGGGCGCTTGAAAGGACCCAAGGGGCTCTCCGTGGGGCCCCCAGGGGGCCCCTGGGGGTCTCCGGGGGCCCCTGGGGGTCTCTGGGGGCCCCTGGGAGTCTCTGGGGGCCCCTGGGGGCCCCTAGGGTCTCCTGGGGTCCCCTGGGGTCTGCTTAGTGTGGGGTGTTTTGTTGGGAAGCTGCTGGTAGCAGTTTGCTGCTGGTGTTGCTGCTGCTCGTTTGCATACTTTGCTGCTGCAGCGGCAACTGCTGCTAGTGTGTCCTTTGCTGCTGCAGCGGCAGCTGCTGCTGGTGTGTGGTCTGCCGCTACAGCAGCATCGGAGTTGTCGATGGCTGCAGCAGCACCTGCTGCTGCTGGCGTGCGTCTTGCTGCTGCAGCAGCAGCCAATGCTAGTGTGTGGTTCGCTGCTGCTGCAGCAGCGGGCGCTGGTGTGTGCTTCGCGGTTGCAGCAGCAGCAAAAAGTCCTTTGCTGCCGCAGCAGCAGCTGGTGCGTCGTTTGCTGTAGCAGCAGCAGCTGCTGCTGCTGCGTGCGTTGCTGCTGCAGCTACTACGCCTTCATCGCGGAGCCCGCGCTTTACCCCGACTTGTCTCATAAATGGATTTTTAAAAAGTGGCAAAATGGCAAAAAGATTTATTTGCCGGACGGGGCGACAGTGGCGGACTTCAAGGCTGCGGTGTACGTACACCAGAAGCCCCGGGCCCTCCGCGAGAGGGAAGCAGCAGCAGCAGCAGCAGCAGCAGCAGCGGCGGGGAAGGCGGGGAAGGCGCAGGCGCAGGCAGCAGCAGCTGGCGAGGGAGGCGGCGGCGGGGAGCCGGGCCAGGAGCCGGAGCCCGCAGCAGCAGCAGCAACTGCAGCAACTGCAGCAGCAGCAACTGCAGCAGCAGCAGCAGCAGATGGCAGCAATCTCGAGTTTCAAGACACCAGCCAGCTGCTCGTCGGCTGCAGAGGCCGCATGTTTGCTGACAGCGACAACTTGGCTCTCGCGGTGAAGGCCTTTTGCCGCAGAGACCCCAGGCTTCTCATTTGGAAGGACTGAAGCAGCAGCAGCAGCAGCAGCAGCAG